AGCCACATCACTCTTTGAATTGTTTACAGCTCTTTCATCCATCCTTTGCTCATGAGAATCAAGTGTCCCTTAAAGCTCTTCCTTTATCAATGTTGACAATTCTTTCGACTCTTCTATGGCTACTACCACGTGGTCTAACTTTGGATTCAATGATCTTAAGATCTTTTCAACAACTGATCTTGATGTCAACACTTTACCGCATACCTTGATTTGATTCACCTGTTTCATAACCCTAGTGAAAAAATCAGTTATGCTTTCACTTTCTTCCCCCTGAAGCAATTTGTACGCTCTTATGTAAGTTTGTAACCTCACCTCTTTCACCTTTTCAGCGCCTCCAAACAATTTCTCCAGGATTTCTCATGCTTCTTTCGCTGATTCTTTATCACTGACATTTTCAAAATTGTTCGGGTCAACACATTGATGAATTATAAAGAAAGATTTGTAATATTTCTTCTTCAATTCTTTGCATGCAACATTTTCTTCATCTGTTGCATTTTCTGCAAGCGATGTTACTCATTCTTTCACAAGGTCCAAAAGATCTTGATAACAAAAAAAAAACAATCTTCATCTACTTGCATGAATTCTCGTAATTCTGATTCTTCAGAATTGGGAGACTCGTTAGAAAATGCTCATTCAGATGATTCATCATGCTATGCTTCCCAAGAATCACACATCCAATGCTCTCATACCATATTTTGGAATTACACAAAATTTATGGAGAATTTCGAATCAATATTGATGAACAAGAATCAATATTTATGATTTATTACTCCTCTTGTTGTTCACTCTTCACTAGAGTGAAACAATCAACCTTGATTGCAAGATGACTCCGGATAGATCCCAAGTTAAAAAAGAACTTAAAAAATTTATTTTGAAAAATTTAACGGCTTGCAACAATGACCTGGATCGCATCGTCTAAACCGAACTGCTATAAAAAATCTCAGATATGCATGTATGAAAACCAATTGATGATAATGATAAAAAAAAAAATCAATCAATATGGTTTTAACAACAATCACTTGAATGCTACGCAAAATTAAAGTCTATTTCCAATAATAAATTTCATAAAAACACAATTGAGGCAAATTATCAAACACCTTTTATGCAATCTATCTCTGGTTTTGTTGATTTAAAAAAGCAACTACAATCTAATAGATTGTAATCAGCACAACAAAATTGATTTCTAAATGTTATCAACAAAAGTTTAACCAAATGTATTGATCTCACAACCTATGAATTTAACAATTTGCAAATAAAAAGTAACATATATATATATATATATATATATATATATATATATATATATATATATATATATATATATATATATATATATATATATATATATATATATATATATATATATATATATATATATATAGAGAGAGAGAGAGAGAGAGAGAGAGAGAGAGAGAGAGAGAGAGAGAGAGAGAGAGAGAGAGAGAGAGAGAGAGAGAGAGAGAGAGAGAGAGAGAGAGAGAGAGAGAGAGAGAGAGAGAGAGTACACAAGGATTTGTTTAGGCAATTTTTCAATCGGCTTTGTTTATATCTCATTATGTTGGTTACAAGCATTTGGTTCATGGCGTCCCAATATCGACAAAAATTTCCTTTACTGTTTCCCAACTAATTATTTAGTGTAGCATGTGCAATTTCCACTAAATTAGTTGTTATATTGCTAAAGTGTCTAACCTGATTGGTCCAGGCACAAATAATATTCTCATTCACATGGTCCAAAATAGTACTCTCAACATATTTCAGGAAATTTGGATATCTCGCATACACCGTTCTAAAATGTATTGTAGATTCGGCATATAACTATTTCATGGAAGAATTTAGTATTCTATTCCATGCATCCATTATCTTTTCCAAAACCACACTAGGTTTGGCCATTTTCTATCTTCATATTTGATTTTTTTTGTGCCTAATGCACATTTTAATCGACTTTTCACTTTTTTAGTTATGTGATACTTACAAAGTAATGCGTACAATGTAGGAAACGTTGTTACAACCGAATTTATCAATGTGGTGTCACAATCAGTGACAATTACATTTGAAATGTTTTCTTGATCCTTCAATATAGTTTTCCACATTTCCAAATCCCATGTAACATTATCCTCTTTTCAAATTCTGAAAATGCAAAATCGACTAAAAAAGTCATCTGCATAGAAGTAACACCTAAATTTCCAAGAGTGGAAGTCTGTATTTGTTTGCTTTGTATGTTAAATAAATTATGAGCATAGTGGAAAATATGTTGAACAACTTAGTGGAATCAGATGTGTCCAAAATGTATCTTAAACTATGACTTTATCCTTACAAACTCTATACCTAGAAACATATTGGTCATTCTCTTAAAGCTTTAATAGTTGTTGCATTTTAGATTTTGGACCTTTTACCGCATTGTTCTTTCGGACACGCACGTTGTATACTTACTTGATATTTGAAACATTTTGAGGTATTTTGCGTTTCATAGTTACAAATATGTTTTTTGGTACCACGTGTTTAATGTCATGTCTGAAACAAGTTCCTTCTCCTCTGAAATAAGGCGACATACAATGGGAAGACCTTCTAGCTTGTCACTCAAGGAATAGTTATATATACTAGAAACCACATTACATTTTCATGTATCATTTGCCTTATGGTATCTGCGCAATTTAAACAAACACTTACATTTTCTCGATTCGATGTCATCATGTTTCAACTTCCTAATCGATGGTTTGTACGTGCCACTTCTTTCGCACCTCATTGTTACAAATGTTTGTCTTCAATTAAAATCATTGTCAGACCTTCCAATTACAATGCTAAACCCCAATTTCTCGATCTCCATGCGAACCCATTATAACATATATTTACAAACAATAAAATCTTGTTTTTCTATAAATTGTTCACGAACATATACCTCGACAACAACTGGTCTAGCATCCGGTTTAACATCATCCAATTTAACTTTATCTTTCACTTCATCTGGTTTAACATCATCCTTCACTTTGTTCGGTTTAACATCCATCCTCATAGTAACTTTGGGAAACATACCTAGGTGCACCTTTTCTAACATCAATCATGATAAAAAAAAAACAAATTCAAAATACAAAGTATCAAAAAAATTCAGAGATGCGTCTGCGAAACACATGAGCCTTAGTCTGGAGATGCATATTCGGACTCAACGTTCATATTTTCAACTCAAACAACACATTAATGCAGGAATGAAGGATGAAATGAATGAACTTTACCTTAAAGTCCAACTTCTTTTTCTCCCATTGATGTGATAAAATACAAGAATGTTGTTTTGGTGTTAAAAAGTTGATTGAGAATGAACGAATTTTATTTTAAAGGTTTTGAAGGTAAAAGTACCTTTGATCACGAGGGAGAAAAACATCCAAAGTGGTGTTTTATCTAATTTCCCACTTGACATTTTCAAATATGCATCTTCGGAACCATCATTGGGTTATTAAAAATAGTCCAGTTAATAAAAAAAACTGTTGTGAATCTTGTTGTGAATTACGATAAAATTCAATATCAATTTGTGAGGCAAAGAACAATAACAACCAAAATAAATGGTCTTCAGCAATAATAATTCGTACACAGATAAGATAACAGAACAAGGCAAGAAAAAACTGAAGGTTTGTTTACCCAGTTCGATCAAACGATCTACTATAGAGGAGAGAGCAGCTCTCCAATTCACTATACTCAGAAAATTGTTACAAGAGATTACAGATGAGTTACAAGAAAATAGCCTTCCCCTTCAGGCTCCCAAGAACAACCCCGAAGGTGCCCAAGAACAACCTTATTTTCTACCCAAGTGTTTTCCTACCTCTCCAACTCTCAATATATGAATCACTCAAACACAAAGTGTAATCAAGGTTTTCTTTGTGCATAGCTGAAACCCTATGCTATGCTTTTAAACCCTTGCTCTTCCTTATTGGTATAAATCTAAGATTCTCACACACCAAGTATATAAGAAATACATATTTATAATAGCAAATGCCTAACAAACAAAGCCTAAAGCTACATGGATCCATGGACCGAATCGAAAAAGCGATCGTACGGACAACAATATTCATCCGTACGGATATCACTATTCACCATATGGACGAAACTATTCACTGACCAATTTTCCCCCCTCGATTTTTCGCGATAAATGCAATCTCCAAAATATGTTTTCTTTCTCTTCATCAACAAAGGTTTTAAGGCGCATTTACAACAAAAACCATAAATGAATACAAGGGGTGTTACATATACGCGTCTTCGGATACACCCCAAATAATATTTGAAGATGCATATTCGGATCAGGTTTTGATAAAAATAGTGTGTGTGATTGAATTACAAAAGGATGATGTGATTTTAGGAGTCCAGAGATGCATTTTCGAACATATAAAGGATATTTTTGGATTTTCAGATGTGGATGGAGCAGTTAGGGGGTGGCAAATCGGGTCTACCCCATTAGACATGTCCATTTTACCCACACATTTTTGCATAGCGAATCAAAGATTTAGGTCCGAACGCTTTAATGTGTTTGTTCCACTCCATTTTTTATGGAGTTTTGTGGGCAAGAGGCTTTACATACAATTTTGTAATTTTTAAACATAAAAAACTCAATTTCTTTTGACTTCTCCGCCCTCACTTTTATGAGAAACAAAATAAAATTTTAAACGCACACTCTCAAATATACTCGCTTCATTTTATTTTTTTTGGACTTTTACATAACCCCTAAATAGAGCGAACATACATGTTTTCCTCTTCATTCATTTTCTTTCTCTTAATGATCTTTTCATTCTCATCTAAAAAATCTTACAAGCAAAATCCAACTTTTCCAAGTTTGTCCCCACTTTGGGAAATCAGCCAGTCATCCTCAAATAAACATTACAAAAGCAAAATCGTCATGTAACTCCTCCTAATGATCTTATCCAATCCAATCTTCCAACAAATACTTCACAATTAGATACTTATTCATATAGATCAATTCAAGAATACCATTGATCCCACTTTGATCCAAAATCGCAAAAATGGAAGTCGAAAAACAGAGAGGAAAAGGTCACAAACTAGTTCTAATGCCATCCCCATTTCAAGGCCACATAACACCACTACTCCAACTAGCAAACATCCTCTACTCAAAAGGTTTCTCAATCACAATCGTCCACACTGTTTTCAACTCCCCCGATCCTTCTTCCTACCCTCACTTCACTTTCCACCCTCTCCACGGTGCTTTATCGGAAACCGAAGCTTCAAAGGTAGACGCGGTTCATCTCACCGACCTCATCAATATCAGATGCGTCCAGCCTTTGAAGGAGTTCTTGGCTACGTTGCTGTCGTCACAGGATGACGATGACTCTGTTCCTGTCTCTTGTTTCATTGCTGATGCTGCTCTTTATTTCACTCAAGGTGTTTGTGATGAGTTTGGGATTCCTCGTCTTGTGCTTAGGACCGGTGGTGCTTCCTCTTTTCTTGTTTTTGCTTCGTTTCCTCTCCTCAGAGAAAAAGGCTATTTTCCTGTTCAAGGTAGATTCTTCAACATTCTTTCTACATTTTTTCGTATAAAATTATCATTTTTGTTCATGCAAAACACCTAAAGATTACATTTTAATTTGTTTGTGTCAGACACCTACTGACAATGATTACATTTAATTTATTCATAAATGACATAACATTATGGTGTCACTTAACTTGGTTGATGTTGGTAGCTTTGGTACTTTCAGAATTTGAGGTTGTTCTGTTAATGCTTGTTTTCTATATATTTATGTAATTTACTTCTGTTTGTTTTTGTGATAAAAAAAAATGTTATTTTGCTTTTATGGTATAATTTATCTTCAAAGTTGCAATATGAAGCAAAATGTATTTGCTAGCTGAGATGAGAGGGTTTAAAAATTAATTTTTTTTTACTTTTGTTGAAAATCTAGAGTCTCGATTGGAGGAAGCTGTTGTGGATCTTCCACCACTCAAAGTGAAAGACCTTCCGGTGTTTCAGTCGAAAGAACCTGAGGCATTTTACAAGCTAGTTTGTCGCTTTATTGAGGAATGCAAGAAATCGTCTGGGATTATTTGGAACACTTATGAAGAGTTGGAATCATCTGCGTTAACAAAATTGCGTCAAGATTTTTCTGCGCCGATATACCCTATAGGCCCTTTTCACAAATACTCTCTTCTTGGATCAACTTCTACTAGCTTATTGACACCAGATCAAAGTTGCATCACTTGGTTAGACAAACAAGAACATAAAAGTGTTGTTTATGTGAGTTTCGGGAGTATTGTGGCAATAAGCGAAGCTGAGTTCTTGGAGATAGCTTGGGGGTTAGCCAACAGTGATCAACCTTTCTTGTGGGCGATCCGACCCGGGACAATCCGCGGCTCAGAATGGCTTGAACCGTTGCCAAGTGAGTTCCTAGAGAATTTAGGAGGAAGAGGTTACATTGTGAAATGGGCTCCTCAAGAACAAGTGTTGAAGCATCCTGCAGTTGGAGCATTTTGGACGCATAACGGTTGGAATTCAACTTTGGAGAGTGTATGTGAAGGTGTTCCAATGATTTGTATGCCGTCTTTTGGAGACCAAAAGATCAACGCAAAGTATGCTAGTGATGTTTGGAAGGTCGGAGTGCAATTAGAGAATAAGCTAGAGAGAGGAGAGATAGAGAAGATCATTAGAAAAGTAATGCTCGGAGACGAAGCCAAAGAGATTAGAGAGAATGTCATGAATTTGAAGGAAAAGGCTATTGTTTGCTTGAAAGAAGGTGGTTCTTCTTATTGTTTCCTTGATTCATTGGTTAGTGAAATATTATCACTTAAATTTTCTACTTCTAAAGCTCAATGATTTCTCCGCAAATTCAGATCTTAGCTTACATTTTACATGTATTGTGAAGAATAAATTAGAATATGACTGTATTTAGATAAACACGTTTGTCATATAAGTCCTTATGTATAAAGCTATTTCATCACTTTGTATTGAAAAAATAAGTTAAAAGTGAAGGAATCAAGTTAACATCAATATTGATACCTCAACTACAAACAATTAACCATGTACCTTATATTTACAAATTCAAAAAGGATGGATTTACAAATCCTCATCACTCTCACTAGTAGTACAAGAATCATCCAAATTCACAGCTGCTACTTTAGAAGCGCTTATTCTAAAAGAAGCTGACCGAATCTTATAAGGCAACTTAGCATTAGTACTAGCAACAACACCACACTGTTCTGTTTCTTCTTCTTGTTCTCTTTTCAAATCACTAGGAGGTAAAAAACAATCAATAGACAAACCTTTAATATTAAAATCAACTTCTTCAACTTGCCAAACCTCTTCCATTCGTGTCCTCGAACGTGTCTCGGGTCCCTCACCAAACCTAAACAAGGTCACCTTTGTTTTCCCGGCATGTGCTATTTGGATTCCGTCGACGGTTCTGTAGTCTTGTATTAGTGATTCCATGTTTGTTTCCCAGTATATGCAGTCGGTTTCTGAGGATTTGAGTTTGAGCAAGTGCGAGTCTTCTAGCTGCACTAATAAACCTGTTCTCTGACTGAAGTATCCCCACACTGTGTGTCGAACTATCTCTACATTGCTGTTGCTTCTAGCTCGTAGTACCGATGATTCTGCATCGAGTTTTAATATGAAACAGTCTTCTTTATTCACTGTTTTCTCTCCAATGCATACCGCGCTGCTGAATAGATTGGCTGTTGATCTTGGATCAAGACCCTGTTGCAAAAATCATAGTTCAAATGTCAATATAGTAATGTTTATGTGTATTGCACAATATTATATGTCAATTTTTATCTCAAGACTATGGTTAGTTAGAAACAAAGGAATAAAGCAGCTTCACCAATTGACCAAACACAGGTTGTCACACAGGTAGGAAAAATTGCGATATGGTTGACTTAGTATAATTGCAAGCAAAGAAACATTCTCTTTTTTGACTTTAACCTCAAAGAATCATGTATTTTCCACAGGCACACTATGTCACACGATTCAAACCATCAGATCAAGTCGACGTTAATCGCTTGATCTGGAATCGAACGGTTCAAATTGTTCGAAAGTGGATTTCCTCAAGATGATTCAAATCGATAAAGTTGGTATAATCACAGATGATGTTATGCTTTGTAACAAAAAACAGTTATCCAGTTAAGCATGCTCCATTGTGTTACATAAATAGAATCAAACAATGAAACATCATCAATTTATCAGACTCATAATTAAGCATTCTCAATTAAAGACAAAAAGAGAAACAAATGATTTTGGTCAAGAACTTTTCTAGCATACCTGTAAGAAACGCCGGAGAGGTCTCGGTGGACCACGAGAAGCATGGGAATGATGCCATGGAGTTTGTCTCCAAGCAACTTTTCCATCACTTCCTGCACTAATCTTGTTACCAGAAACCACCAACTCTAAACACCATAACTCTGGTCTCTTCTGCCACACCACAAAACCACCCATCTCTCCTTTCACCTCTACATTCTTCACCTTCATCATCTTCTTATTATGATTATTATTACTATTCGCACCTCCTTCCCCTGCCGAAAACTCTGAAGTCGCCATTCTCACTTGTCCCATAGCATACATACTATCCACAGAATTCAAAGCTCTTTCACCTCCCACTGCAGCCACATACTGTTTCATTATATATTTCGCCATCGAAACCTCCTGCATAATCATAAAAAAAACAAAAGGGTATGTCTTAATTCATAATTTCTATTAAAAACTAAAACAAAAAAAAGAATCTTTTTAACTTTTTTTGAAGAAAAAAAAAAGTTACTATTACTACTACTACTTACAATGTGTTGGTCTTTAATGCTGGGAGTGATAAGTTGGTAATTGTCAGAAGAATTGATGATAGGTGAAGGAATTAATGGAGCTCCTACAACACCTAACAAAAGCTGAATCTCTGTGTTTCTTCCTCCAAAACCTGCTGTCATAGAAACAGCTTTTGATTCTGCGTTTGGCTTCATCCAAAAATACTTCACATTCTGCCAAGCTTTCATTGTTCCACTCTTGTGTATAAAAATTTCCTCTGGTATAGGAACTTCAAGCACTGTTTCAAGTCCATCCTCTCTATCAAGATTAGGACAAAGCTTCTTCATAATCATAGCAAAGAAAAGATCAAGAAAATAGAACTAGAATATGAAGGGTTGGAAAATTTAGTTCTTGTTGTTGAGAGTATGAAAGTTAGGGAAAATATTGGCAACCAAAAACTAAGGATGGGACCCTCTTTGTAACGTGGTCTGATATATGTTTATGTCGTGTTTGCACGCTTTTGTTTTTGTTAATTCACACTTTACTCTAACTTAAACTATAGTATTAAATTGCTGTTAATGATGGTGACTTATATATATTTTTTTCTTTGTATTTAATTTCATGTTAGTGTGTCTATTTTATTTTCCTTTAATGGGTTTGTGTTGAGTTAGGTTGTTAATTGTGTAGTGCAAATGTTACTATTTTTTTCAAGTATTTTGGATGTACTATTAAGTTTGAAAATAATGATTGTTTTGACACTTTTTGAAGGTGTCATAAATGTGACATGATAGTAGTAGTAGTAATAATAAAAAGATAATCATAGAATTAATTTAACATTTCTTTGTTTAAAATTGAATAAGATATGAATTTGCTAAAAAGAAAGAGATATTAGAATTTTTAAGAGAGAAAATGTTATTTTGTATTGAAAGTGGTAGTCTGTCTAAGACTCATAGTGTCACTGTCTTTGTGGTAATCTTCATTACTAAGGTGGAAAAGAGAGGCATCAGGTCCCTACTCAGTTTGCTACTTTGTTAGTCTTTCACATCAGAGGTTCAATTTAATGTTTTGGTTCAATTTGTATTTTGAAAGGAGTGGCTTAGCTTCACTAAAAAGATTGACAAGATCACTAAAATAAATTATAATTTATAAATAAAATATAAAAAAATATTAGGTATAATAATGTTTAAAGTAATCTATAGGATGGAAAAAATACTCAGTAAAAAATTTAAAATGTTCCTCAGATTTTGAAGATTTATCTCCGAACGTATTTTATCTAAAATTTAAACATTAATTATTTTGGAGATGTATCTCGGTAATATTTTATAACATACATCATGCATCCCACTCTGAAAAATTTTACGTTTAATTATTTCGGAGATACATCTTTGTTTATTTTACGGAGATACATGTTTGTAACACATCAGAACAATGCATGTTATGTTTTGTTTATGTTTATTCAAATAAAGATTTATAAACATTATGCACCATGTTATGTGATGAGAGAAGAGACTTAAACCATATAATCAATATGCAAAAATTGACATATATAAATTCAGATGGTCTAAAAATGACATAAATAAAGTCGAAATACACAATAAAGTAACATGAAATGAAAATAAAATACAATCCATAATGAATTTAAAGTACAACTAATATATACTACTACACTACTGCATATGTTATACTACATCATCTCTTCCTCCTATGACTCCTCGTCCTTTGATATTTCCCATTCTCTGGCGCTGTCTCCAGTACATCAATACCTCTCGTGCCTCCGTCATGATGACATCTAGGACTTGCTTCACATTAGATCCATCAGGGAAGATGCCTCTATCAATATTTGCATGTGCAATCTCCACTATGAGACGATATTCAGGCAAGACATCATGAACATAATATATATGTGCCTCTTCCTCCTCCTCTAGTATCTCCTAATGAGTTGACCTTGGTGGATCTCCTAGAGCAGCATGCACCATATACGGATGCGACACCCTGAAGAACCACCTGATGTACCCATTGACGTAGCTCCAGTCGCTCTCAATTATGGTACTTCGTTCCTCCTCTGGTACCAAATGAATCTTATAATCATCAAACATGGCATTTATTTGTCTACGTGTCAAAGCACGCAAAGCAGAGACAACAGGGTATCTGGGAATGGTCTAAGTGTAGCTGAATTGCCGCATCACACGCTCGAGAAGATGAAGAGCAATGAGACGTGATCTACAAGCCAACCATCCCGAGTATAACAATATGTCATCAAATGGCCGCATCTCACGGTGATCGATATAGTTGTTAAAGTGCATGTCCTCGGCAACCAAGCAGGTATCCTCTCATATATGTTCTATGGAGCCTCACCGGCTCGTCATCGCCACTAGTCTGCTATGCTCTAACAAGCTCATCTGTATATACCTCTTTGAAGAATTCAAACCTAGCATGAGTCCCTTTGGTTCTCTTCATCTCCGTCATCGCAACCTTTAGGTCAACTCCTAGATGGTCTACCATCAACTCGAGTGCCTCGTCTTTGCTAATCCTTCCTTGATCTAGAAGTTTCCCCCTAATCGGAAGATGCACCAAACACGACACATCATTGAGTGTAATAAACATTTCACCAAGAGGGATATGAAATAACAAGGTCTTGGTGTTCCATCTTTCCACGAATGCATTAAGCATCCCGTTGTTGATCACAATATAACCAGTCATGCACAAATCTTTCATCCCATATAGGGACAAAGCAACTTGAAACAACTCTTTATTTGGCTAAGGCAAGCCAATAATCTTTCGCCCATGGTTACTAATCTTTAATGGATCACAACCCTACAGAAAAATACGTCAATGTTAGAAAATTGTGATATAATAATAAACGTAAATTAAAAATAATGATTCCAGCTAATGTTACCTCTTCGTCCCATATATGTTTGGCATTATGGTCTGGATACAGAGGCAGTAATGACAAGTCTACATGGCCTCCTCTAAATTCCTGAGGTGGATTATCATCCTCAGCAGGCTAACCAGCCGGAGGTTGCATTGGCTCAACAGCCTCAGCAACTGGAGGTGGCACTGGCTCAGAAGCATCATCTGTCAGAGGTGGC